TGTGCTGGGGGTGTAGCTCAGCAGACCACATACTTAGCATGAGTGAGCCCTGGCTTCGAGTGTGAGCACATCTAACAAAATGAAGAACACCAACCATGTGAGACAGTGTGATAAAGGCTAAACAAGGGAGAGGGGCTAGACGGTTCGTCTCCGCACCAACAGCCCCATTGCTTAAAGGTGCACTTCCCTTCTTAGCTCCAGGCCCTAATTCTAGGTGCCTTCTAGAGAGCTGCTTTTGAATCAGCCCAGGCACTTCCAGTTTCAGTGGTTATCAACTAAACTCATTCGCTTTCTCTCCTGGGTCGTCTTGCTGCATCCTCTGGGAAGGAGTCCTACCTTGTCCTCTGCCCCAGCCTTCTACATCCAATCCACTATTGCACTCTATTTGATTCTGCCATACAGTGTCTCAATAACCCTAAACAACCCTGGCAAAGCCAGCATCAGCACCATCCAGAAACAACCATGCATCTGGGCCACTCTCCAAACTCTCTAATAGCTTCCCACTGCTGGGAGGTTGGCCTTGTCTGGCAAGGCTCTAAGACTCAACTTTTTTTTTTTTAATTTATTTATTTATTTATTTGTGTGTGTGTGTGTGTGTGTGGTGTGTGTGTGGCCAGCTCAGCCCACCAAGGGCGGGGCTGGCTGGCATGTGGTGCTGGGGGATTGAACCGCAGTCCCTGCGCTTTGCTAAGCTTGTTCTAAGTAGGTGCTTTAGACCACTGAGCCATCTCACCAGCCCAAAGACTCAACTCTTACCCCCTCACCACCATTCATTAATCTATCCATCCTGCAAACACTTCTGCCATGGGTGTTATACGTGAGAACAAGGAATTCTGCCCTTAAAGAGTTTATATTCTAATCAGTAGAGACACACATAATATCCCAGCCTTTCAGCATTTATTTTCTTGCACAGTGCTGGGGATCAAGCCCAGGAAATACTACATAGGAGTGCCATGAAAAAAATGCTAGAGAAGTCAGGAGTGTGAAGACGAGTGGGGTACGGTAGTGCTAACAGGCAGTCAGGCAGGGTCCCGGTGCAATCCAGGGTGGCAACTCTGATCTCCATTGTTAAAGAAAACAGAGAACCTGGTTCATGTGGCCTCTAAGGCGGGGCTGAAGCTGAGGTGAGCAAAATGTTCACTGCTCCACGAGCGTTGCCTAAAACTGTCAGAGAGGTTTCAGGAACTGTGAATAGAGCTACAGAAGTCAGTGAAGAGTAATGGAGCCCTCAAACAAAAACCAAACTCTGCCAAAAATGACAGAGACTGAGCAAAAAGCTCTGTTCCTGCCTCAGATGACACCTATGTAGAAACAGAAAAACTCTTTCCCTTCAGTCCTCTAGATGTTTTTTTTTTTGTTTGTTTGTTTGTTTGTTTTTGCGGAACCGGGGATTGAACTCAGGCCCTTGCGCTTGCCAGGGAAGCGCTTATTCCACTGAGCCATCTCGCAGGCCCCTTCAGCCTGTTTTTTCTCTTTTATTTTATTTTATTTTTTTTGCGGAACCGGGGATTGAACTCAGGCCACTGTGCTTGCCAGGCAAGTGCTTATTCCACTGAGCCAGCTCCCCGGCCCTAGTCCTCTAGAATTTGAGTTTTTTCTTTTTAATTTTATTTATGTGGGGGCCAGCTCAGCCCACCAGGGAGCAGGGCTGGCTGGCATGTGGTGCTGGGGGATTGAACCGCGGTCCCTGTGCTTTGCTAAGCTTGTTCTAAGTAGGTGCTTTAGACCACTGAGCCATCTCACCAGCCCCTAGAATTTGAGTTTTGACGTGCCTGAGCAGCACCAGATCACTCAGCCAACCTTGCGGAGTGCCTCGGGATTCCTGGCTTGGACTGCTACAGCTGGGTCCCCTTTCGCCTGCAAAGGGGCATTTCCCACGGGAAGCTGATCTGTCGCAGTATCCTTGAAGCATTCTTTCTATTCTGGGTGTAGAACTGCCACCTGCCTGATATGACACAGTGCTTTTCAGTTTGTGTGTTTGTATAATAAACAGAGCAGTTTTGGGACTGGGGAGATGGCTCAGTAGAATAAGCACTTGCCTGGCAAGCGCAAGGGCCTGAGTTCAATCCCGGATTCCCCCTCTAAAAAAAAAGAAAAAAAAAAAAAAAAACAAATATCATGGCCAAAGTGAAGAAAGGCCTCTCTGAAGTGAAGAATTGAGGAAGCATCCCTATAGGTATATGGGAACAGCCTACTCCAGGCAGAAAGACCAGCCAGTGTGAAGACCCTGACTTTCTACATTTAAGGAATAAGGAAACCTATACAGGTGCGCTTAGGACAAGCAGTCATACCGGAGGCAGGTCACTGCAGATCGCCAGTTACTGAGTGGACTGCAGGGGTTACAGTATGCGAATTAGGAAGCCGCTGGAATGATCCAGGGTCAGGATCATGGTAGCCTGAACAGGATGATGTTCAAGGTGGTGAGAAGCGGTCTGATAGTGGGCAGATGTGGGAAGTAGAGTCATGTCCTCACAGACCAGATAGAGAGTGAGAAAGACAGAAGGCCCAGGTTCTGCCCGGAGTAAATGCAAGGCTACCATACTAACAGGTAAAAGACAGGTGGGGCATAGGCTTGTGGAAAAGGTCAGGATTTCTGTTTTGACTAGTTCAGTTTGTGATAAATAATAGACTTCAAATTGATAGGTACCTGAATATATGGTGCGGGGGGTTTCATGAAGAGATGAAGTCTGGACTATGCAGCATAGCAAGCAGATGCTATTTACACCATAAAACTTGACAACACTAGCAGGGAACAGAATGTATCTAAGACAGCCCTGAAGATGCAATCCTGTGATCATCTTTTAATTTTTGAGATAGGGTTTTGCTTTGTAGCGCAGGCTGGCCTCGGACTACCTAGGCTAGGGTGACCTCCAGCTCCAAGTGAGCCTCCTGCCTTGGCCTCCCCAGTGTTGGGCCAGCCTCCTATGGTATTTTTATGAAGAGGTCAAGGACAGACAGATGTGCTGAATGCGTGTGATTCTAGCATTTGGGAGGCCGTGGGAGGAGGAGCACCTCAGTTTGAGGCCAGCCTGGGCTATGTAGAGAGTTCCAAGGCCCAGACTAAACTACACAGTGAGACCCTGTCTCAAAAACAAAAAAACCCAAATCATGGGAGTATGGCCATTTTCACATGTTGGTTCTTCTTTTGTGTGTGTGTTTGTATTTAGTACAGGGTCTACAGAATCTGCAGGTCTCACTATGTAGATTGGACTCAGTGATTCTCCTGTTTTAAGCCTCCCAGTCGCTGGGATTACAGGCGTGCACCACCATGCCCAGTCTCAATTGCCGTTTTAGCGAGCCCTGGGGCCCGGCACGCAGGGATCGAACCCGGCCACTGTGCTCTGCCTAAGCTGGTGCTTTAGTCTGCTGAGCTACAATGGCTGGCCCTAAAAACTCCAAATCAAAACAGAAACAAAAACAAACAAAAAAAAAAGGGCTGAGGAAAAAAAAGAGTGAACAAAAAGATACCGAGGTCAGGTGACCATGAGACAGGCCTGTGCTGCCTCAGAAAGCAGACATCGTAGCCAAGCAGATGCGTTGAACGGAGTCCAAAACTGGTTTTAGGACAAGTAAGATGACACCGAAGGATGACGCAAATACGATGAAGTTGGAGAACGATGCCAACACTCCCTCCCCAAGAACTCTGAACGTCTTTTATCTCTTTCTTTGTTCCTGAAATAATACTTTTTTTTTTTTTTTTCTGAATGCAACCGCCCGATTGTTTTTCTCCTAGGCTACATCGCAAGTTCTAAACCCTGACACACGTTCATCTCGCTGATTTCTGTACCGACACCACCTAAATTCCCAGCACCGTCGTTTTTCTCGATTGAGACTGGGCATGGTGGTGCACGCCTGTAATCTCAGCGATTGGGAGGCTTAAACCAGGAGAAGCACTATGAGTCCAATCTACATCGTGAGACCTGTAGATTCTGTAGACCCTGTACTAAATACACACACACACACACACACACACACACACACACACACACACACAAAAGAAGAATCAACATTGTGAAAATGGCCATACTCCCATGATGTGCAGGCAGGTATTCCAAAAGCTGTAGCGCAACGGACAACTACTAGGAAAGCCAGCGCTCACTTCCGGTGGGCCTGACCGTGGGGTGCCTGAACCTTGGAGTGGGCGTGAAAGGCCTTGGCCGGGGCCGGGCTCCCATTTATTCGATCACTTTTCCAAGAGAGTAATGTGGACTCCTCTTACGTTCCAAGTGAATCCTAGGATAAGCCCCTCATAAGGCGCCCCCTAAGTTCTACTCACGGCCCCCTCGCTCGCCCCCGGCCCCAGCGCTCACCCAGCTGCGTGGCGCGCTCCCGAGGCCTGGCGGGTCGGTCCCCACTCCCGTGCTCCGCCTCGAGCTCCTCCTGTTGCCGCCGGGCTTGCTGCAGAATCCGCCGGCTCAGCCGGGGGCCCACGTACTCTTCCTCCTCGTCGGTGCCGCGACCCCGTCGTTTTTCTCGGGCTCCTGCTCGCACCGCATCCCCAGCCAGGATCTGCTCGGCCAGGGGTGCAAGCTTTTCTTGATTCCTGGCCCCGCGGGCCGGCTTGAACTTGGGCATTTTCCTCCAAAAAAATTACCGAGAAGGTCCACACGTGGGTACAACGAAAAGCCTCAAAGAGTGCGCTTGCGCGGTGAAGTCCCAGCGTCCAAGAGGCTTCGCAGAGTTCACAGCGCCCCCAGCGTTCGGAGGTCGGAAACGTACCGGAGCCGCCCCACCTCTCCAAGAGCTCCGGGTCCTGAAACGGGAATCGGGACTTCAGATAAATTTATTACCTTTAACGTTGTCTTTTCTAAGTGGTGGAATCCCTAGCCACGCTTTCCAAGCTTTATGAAGCTAAGCTTAGTCACTCGGCGAAGTCGCAATTTCCAGGGCCGCAAAGTTGGGGGGGGTGGGGCCTTGAAGATGACGTCACTAAGTGGCACCGAGGAAGACACGCCCCGCTTCCAATGCGCGCGCACCCGGCGCTCTGTTTTTGACGTATTTCCGGGGCTCTTACTCGAGTTCTGTGTTGGGAGTGGCTCGGTTACCTGTGGATGCTCGGAGTATCCTGCGTTCCACCGTGTAATAGTGCCACCCTTCGAGCCCAGCGCCATGGGAGTGACTTGGTAGGGCTTCATGGGCTTTTGTAGGGCGGGACTTGGAGTTTAGAGGGTCTTTGGAGTCTGGGGTAAGTCCGGGAGGAGAATTGGAACGGAGGTCTGCTGGCCGCTGGAAGCGGAGCAAGATGGTCTCGGGTTGCGTGGATGGGGGCCGCTGTGAGGACCGCGGGCTCTCCCTTTTTCTTTCTCAAAGGAAGGCGCCAGGTTAGGGATTTTACCCCAGGATCCAATTCAGTTCTTAGTATTTCTTTTCTTTTTGGTACATCGTCCTGCCCGTGAGATTGAAATACTGTCAGGAGTGGGACTTGAGAATGTAGGATCTCCGGAGCAGGACTCACCTGCAGGCAGAGCCAGAGGGGGTGAGGAAGAGGAACGAGGGATATACGTGAACAGTATGCAGCGTGCGCCGCCACGCCCGGCTTTTCCTTATGTCTGTAACAAGCAACCACATCTCTGACAGCATATTGGAGTAGTTAAGACCCTGGACATGAGGGAGTTGCCTGGTTCTGAGTTTTGGTTACACCACGTATTAACTCTGTGTCCTTATGCAAGTAGGTAAGGCATTTCTGTATTTCACTTTCCTCTTTTGCAGTAAGTTTGTACAGCACTTTTATTGGGGCTGTTGTAAAGATTCAGAATTAATTCATCTACAGGCCTTAGAACACTGCCTTTCACATATGTCTGTTACCTACCACTCTAAGCGGAAGCCACACAATGAGAAGGAAACCTTGATAACTTTTTGTTTGGTTGTTTCGATTAAATTCTTGTAAATACTGTTGCTCTTCTCTCCAGGATTACAAGTGTGAGCCTCTTTTTGCTTTGTTACTAGGCCCTAGGCTGGAACTTAATGTGATGGAAATGTTCCGTAGCAACACTGTCTGGTACATTATCTGTCAGCCACCCACGGCTTGTGGCTACTCTACTGGACAGCTCAGGTTCAGAGGGTTGGTAAAAACACTCTAATCCTAGATTGCAATTTCTCCTTGATATAGACAGAACTGAAGGGGGGCTGGGGAGATGGCTCAGTGGAATAAGCGCTTCCCTGGCAAGTGCAAGGGCCTGATTTCAATCCCTCGTTCCGCCAGAAAAAAAAACAAAACAAAACAAAAAAAAAAACTGAAGGAATTGCAAAGGGATCCCTGCAGTTTGAAGTTACTGGGGATTGCTCCCAGGGCCTTTGCACAGAGCTACATCCCCAGCCTTTTTAAAAGTTATTTAAAAATTTTGGGGGCCTGCCCATTAGCTCAGTTGTTTAGTGACTGCTTAAACAGAGCAGTCTGGCTCAGGTTTCTGTGGTTCGATCCCCAGATCCTCAAGCCTTACTAGACATGCCCTGAAGGCATCCTGAGCCAGCCCCCTGCCCCCAATTTTTTTTTTTTTTTTTTTTTTGAACAGGGTCTTGTCAAGTTGCTGGCTGGGCTTGAACTTGTGACCTGCTTGCCTTAGCTCCCCATGATACAGGCATGAGCCAGCACACCTGGCTTCCCTTTCTTATTTTTTTTTTCCACCTTAAATTATTGATGTTTAATGAAAAACAACATTCTAGGATGTGGCAGGATAATGTTGGTGCCCTAATTCTTTTTTAAGGTCTCCCTCCTGCAGACAAAGCTCTCCAGGTTATGGAAGGAAAGGGGGTTTAGTAGGGTCTTCTGTGCTAATCCCAGCGTGGGGACTCGGGCACTGGCCGCAGGACAGTGGGTGAGCTGGACTACCAGCTGCAGGACCAGGACATTGTCCTCTTCATCTCTATTCTGCACGGTGGCTGAGGACCCCTCTGTGTCAATGGGACAAAGCCTGGCTGGGCTGTGTGCTGGATGCAGACTGGTCAGCCTGGGCTGGCCCTGCACCTCCTTCTCTAGACACCCCTGCAGGACCACAGCCTTGGGGCCCTTTGGGTGGAAGGCAGCAGAGAACCCTAGCACAAAATGGGGGTAGGGGTGGGGAGATGTCCCAGAGGCCCTGAAAGGGGGTAGGCATCACCCATCTGTACAGATGCAGCTCTTAGCAAGGCGAGTGAGCAACCTAGCCTTTTATTTGCCTAAGGCCAGCCGTTGCAGGCAACCAGGCCCCCACACTTCCAGAAGGGGTGGAGGAAGGAGGGGCAAACCACTCTGCCTACCAGATGCTGCCTGTCCCCCACCCTGCTTCCTGCAAGCCAAACTTGTGTCATCAAGCATGTCCCCAAGTTGCAGACACTACACTCACTTGTTGCAGAGGAGGCAAGTAAGGCACACTGACCCCTGTGCCAGGCCTCTGCTGGCCAGTCCGCGGTCAGGCTCCTTTCTCCCCACCTCCTCCAGCAGAATGGGCTGCTCAGACTGGGGAGGCTCTCAGGAGCCCATCTGGTGGCCTGTGGGGGACCAGCCAGGGTCAAGGGCTGGGGAGCAGGAGGAGGAAGGGTATGGCTGGGAGAGCAGCTACTGGGTTGGGGGAAGACGGTCAGCCCTGAATAGGGGACCCCAGCTGGGGTTCCATAATGATATCAGTGGGGGACAGGCACAGCTCACTGTTGTCCAGATGGGGAAACTGAGGCAAAGAGTCCTTGTTCTCTGGAAGGGGGGGCCCACCTTCAGGTCTTCAGGCTCATCTGTCTTCCCCGCAAGATGTCTCTGGAGCTGGAGCGCCTTGTTGGCAGTCACTCAGTGTTTATTTTTTTTAATTTTTAATTTTTTTTTTTCACTTAGTGTTTAGATGGAGGCACAAGGAGCAGAAGGCAGCGGGGTCACCTGGCCACAGAGCCCCCTCCATTCCTGATACACCAGAGGGGACTCCAGCCCCTGCCTGCTTTTCCCTGCTAATGTGCTAAGAAAGGCTTATTTTTAGCACCTGATTTCTGCCTGGAGAGAGCACAAGGGACAGAACAGGGAAGAAAGCAGCTGAGGGGGGCCAGGGAGTCCTAGAAGTAGGGCCCAAGGGACTACCTGACTGCTCTGATCTCTCCCTGCAAAGGGCCCGGGCAGAGTAGAGATGAGGAGGACAGTGTCCTGGCCCTGCAGCTGGTAGCCCAGCTCACCCAGGAGTTGCCAGTCAGCGTCATTAATCAGCACCAGAATTCCTGGATGCACGCTGTCTCCCTGGATGAACAGCTCTGGCCGCTCTTTTAGCAAATTCTTGATTCAGATAAGGAGGTTCCAGGTGTCCTAAGGCTCCTCTTGCCCAGGTAAAGTCACTTGATGTTTCTTTATGCTGTCAAACAGGAGCTCCGCACTGCCTCCGAGCTCCACCTCCACTGAAGAGGGCGCTGAAGCCGCTTCCCTTTCTTATTGAGTGCTCACGCTGTACCATCTGGAATCTTCACTTGAACGCTGTGGTACATCCCACGTCTGGGAGGTGCTGGTGTGGAAGGGTGTTCCTTGCTTTGGAGGACAAGTCTTGAGAGCAATGCTTTGGTTCTCGGAGGGGCTCTCAGGACAAGGTTTCTGTTTACTTGTCCTTAAGGGGCAGGGTCAAGGTTCATGTCCCTGCAGAGCCATCATTCAAGGCACAAGCAAGTGGCTCAGGCAGTGCACGTGTCTCTGGACACCCTCGACTTGGTGCTTTGCTTTCCAGTGTGTCCCAGATGCCCGTGGCTGAGGGCAAGAGTGTCCAGCAGACAGTGGAGCTCCTCACCCGGAAGCTGGAGGTGCTGGGGGCCGAGAAGCAGGGAACGTTTTGTGTGGACTGCGAGACTTACCACACAGCTGCTTCCACTCTGGGCAGCCAAGGTCAGTGAGGTGGACCTGTGGGTGGCTGTGGGAATGGTCTTCATGGACATTCATGTCCACTGGCATCTGTCTTTTCTGATAAAGGCGGTGTTTTGAACATGTGACTGGATGGGTCCTTTATTTTTTTTAAATAAGGGTCCTACTGTGTAGTAATACCACGCTGGCCTTGAACTCACAGCGATCCTCCTGCCTCAACCTTGTGAGTGCTGGGATTATAGGTATGTGCCACCATGCTGAACGGGCTAGATAGATTTCTGAGTTCATTGCTTAGTGCTTTATCTCTTAGGAGCTATTGTGGTTGTTTTACAGCTGGAACTTTTAGAAAAGCTTTAGGTATAATTAAGGTATAAGCAGTTGCACACATTTAATGCATACATCTTGATGAGTTGGCTGTACACGTCATATGAGATAGGGAGAGATCTATAACACCTTCACCAGAACCCAGGTATTAAACCTATGTCAGCCCAAACAGTTTGGGTTAGATTGGTTTTTTTGTTTGCTCGTTTTGGTTTATTTTGTACCAGGGATGGAACTCGGGACCTTGTGCTTGTGAGGCAGGCGCTTACGCCACTGAGCTATCCCCCAGCCTCAGATTTTCTTTTGTGCAACTTGAACTTTTTTTTTTTGCGGAATCAGGCCCTTGCGCTTGCCAGGGAAACGCTTATTCCACTGAGCCATCTCCCCAGCCCTAATTTGAACTCCTAAAGCAGAGTTTTTGTCAGGTTTGTCAGTGCATACCTATAATCCCAGCTCTTAGCAGGCTGAGGGAGGGGGACAGACTCCAGTTTGTGGTCAGCCTGAACTACATAGTGACACTTTGTTTCAAAAAAATAAAAGGCAGTGTTTTTCAAAGACTTATTGAAAAGCTGCATCAGGACACCTAGGTTGCTTGCTAAAGGTGCATCTTTCTGCCCCTGCTCATCAGTTGTGTCCAGATGTCGTAATCTACATTTTAAGCTCCCTGGATAGTCCTTGTATGCTCTGAAGTTTGAAGACTTGATTAAGTCCCCCAATTTTTTGTTTCATTTTTGTTGTTTTGAGACAGGGTCTTGCTGTGTAGGTCAGGCTGAACTTGAACTCACTAATTAGCTCTGGCTGGCCTCAGACTTGAAACAGTCCTGTTTTCAGCTCCTGAGCGCTGGGAGTGCCAGACTGTACCATCGCGCTCCTCTGAGACCCTGGACTCGTTGTATGTGGTTCTCTCTGAGCTTTAGCATCTGTAGGTCTTCTGTGTGAAGGCTCCTGTTTCCCACATCTGGCCAGTGTTCCCGACTCATGAGCATGCCCTTGACTGATGCGTCAACTTCTGGGTTTTCAGGCTAGAGTGATAAGAGCCGTATATGATAGCTGTGATGACAAAAAGGGAAAGCGGATCTTTGCATATGTGTTGGGGAACCTTATTCTCTTAGCCTTGGCTCCGCAGTATCATGGCCTAGGACAGTTTCATGATACAGAGGCTTTGTTCATGGAGGCAGATGCCTGTGGGCTGGGCCCAGGCATACCTCCAGTAGCGGTAGGCAGGTCCCACGCTGATGTGTGGCTGTTTCCCTTAGCTCCACTCCCGCACTGCCCCACTCACAGCATTGACAGGCCCTTCTCGTTCCCTTTAGTCAGTGAGAGACACAGGGGAAGATGGATGCGCAGGAAGAGGAGGAGCCACCGTATCCCTGTCAGTTTGCTTCGGCCGAGCTGCGTCTCCCTCCTGGCTCTGGTTCCTGCTCAGAAGCCCTCATTCCTGGCTCTGCTTTTCTTTCTCCTTCCAGCCCTAAGGGCGGAGCAGCTTCTGGGCTAATCTTTGTGTTACTTCATCATCCTGCTGAGCTTTTCTGTTCTTCCAACCCTGTACTTGTAAACTGCTTCTACTGAAGTGCTTGTTTTTGGACTCTTCTCCATACTGTTCTCCTAGCTCTAAAGCAAAGTAAACTGTTACTGTGAGAGAGCCCCGTGTGGTGCTGAGTACATGGAAGTCAGTTGCTAATTATGCACAATACATACAAAACCCTTCGAAAGGAAGTGGCATGCAGTTTAATAAGTGGCAGTGCAGAGCTGTGCTGTCTTTCCTGTCTGGTAATGTTGCACTGTTCCCTTTGATAGGAAGGATGACACAGTTAGGAGATAATGACAAGAGCCCTTGGGAAAGAAAGCACTCCAGAAGCTATAGCTTGGTTGGGGAGGCAGAACACACTACCCGCAGTGGGCAAAGGGAAAGAGAATGAACGTGGGAACCCCGCCCCCTGACCTGTGGGCTGCGGGCTGTGTGCCTTGGTGTTCAGGTCTCCTCTGCAGCCATACTGGCATCAGCAGGAGGGATCTCTAAGGTGCAAGTCGCCGGAGCTGGACCCCAGTTTCTGACTGGAGGGGCAGGGGGTGTCTGGGATCTGAAGGTCTGGCTTCTAGCTCCAGCTCCCCCTTCCAGTCTCTGAGAAAGGGATCTTTTCACTCATTTCTGTAGGTTTTTTCAAGAAGGATGAAAAGTGCCTGTAATCCCAATGCTTGGGAGGCTGAAAACAAGAGGATCACTATGTAGTGAGACCCTGTAGACACTGTACTAAATACATTAAAAAAAAAAAGCACAGTGGCTTAAAGAAGGATGAAAAGCTACATATACATTTGATTCAGTAAAAAAAAGAAACAAGGCAAAAAATGGGAGATAAGTTTCCTTTTTCGTACATAAGAAGAGTTAGCGTACAGGCTGCCCCAAGTCCAAGTGTTTTCTAACAAGTTCTTGCTGCTCTGGGACTTGGCCTACTCTTTCTTCATTAGCGAAAGGGGGATGGTAATACTGGGTCTGCTTCACCTGGTGCTCGATAGGAAAGAGCTTTGTTGTGATTTCTTTTGTTAGTTTTGGTTTGGTTTTTGGTTTTTTGAGACAGGGTCTCACTATGTATTTCAGACTGCCTCTTAAATTATAGAGTCCAGGCTGGCCTTGAACTTGCAGCAATCTTTCTGCCTCAGCCTCCTGAGTGCTGGGATTACAGGTGTACACTACCATGCCTGGCTGGGTTTTTTTGTTTTGTTTTCTGTATTTAGGACAGGGTCTATAGGGTCTATAGGATCTCACTATGTAGATCGGACTCATAGTGAGTCTCCTGTTTTCAGCCTCCCAAGTGCTGGGATTACAGGTGCGTGCCACCATGCCCAGCCCAGTCTCAATTGCCATCTCAGTGTGCCCTGCAGGTGGGGCCAGCACGTCATGCCAGGGATCAAACCCCAGCTGCTGTGCTCTGCCTAAGCAGGCGCTTTAGTTCACTGAGCTATCTGGACGGCCCTATGCCTGGCTGTTTTTTAAGAAAAGTCTGTCACAATTGGAAATGCCTTTTTCATTGAAAAAGTCACCTTGGTTGCTTTTAAAATAGTTTCAACCATAACATCACTTGTAGACCCACATAGTGTGGATTAAGTATGTGCCCAAGCCTGGCTCTTGAGAAACCTTTTTACTTAGGATTAATTTTTTTTTTTGTGGAACTGGAAATTGAACTCAGGCCCTTGTGCTTGCCAGGCAAGCGCTTATTTTACTGAGCTATCTTCCCTGCCCCGTTTAGGATTAATTTGAAGTGGTTCTGGAGAAGGGGCAGGGTTTGATTGGAGGCGGGTAGGCAGGAGAGCTAGGCTGCAGGCTGCAGCACCTGCTGTGTGCAGGAGGTGGCAGCAGAGGCAAGGTCTGCAGTCAGGGAAGTCCCAAGGTCCCTTGCTGGCCCCACGCCTGCTGTCCTCTCCACTTTCGCTTGCCACATTCTTCCTACCATAATGTCACCCTTTCTGCTCCATGTGGCTGAGTTCTTCCCTCTCTTCGTATACCCCTGCAAGGCCTGTTTCCCTGCTAACTCCTGCCCACTTTAGTCTCTTCCTAGCCTGTGGGCTTTCTTGCCTTACAGAAGGCTTCTGTCTTTCCTAGTTGATCACTTGTTTTATTTATGTTCTTTTGGTCTTCTTTCAGAACATTTTTTACCTCTGTCCCTTGTGAGATAATCAGCTCCTGCTTCTTCTTTTTCTTTTTAAAGACAGGATCTCACTATGCAGTTCAGGGGGGCCTGGGCCTAGCTCAGTCCTTTAAGTGGCTGCTTCCACAAAGCTGTCAGCCTCAGGTTGCTGGAGTTCGAACCTCACAACTCTCCCGCTGGCCAAAAGTGCCCTGAAAGCATTCGAGGAACAAAAAAAAAAAAAAAACCCTCACTATGCAGTTCAGGCTGGCCTTGAGAGGCTGAGGCAGGAGTATCATTGTGAGTTTGAGACCAGCCTGGGCTACAAAGTGAGCTCACAGCCAGTCTGAACTGCATAGTGAGACCCTGTCTCAAAAAAGACCAAAAAAAAAAAAAAAAATCTAGCATTAGGTTCTCTCCTGGGATGTCTTTGAGGCCTAGCAGAGCACGGGGAGGTGGGGCGGTTTAAGGACATACTGGGGCTTCGTAATGGGAGGACATCACACTTGCCAGGCAAGTGCTGCACCACTGAGCTACATCCCTGACCTTGTCTCCTAGAGTTTATTAGAGGAATCTTGCTTTCTGTGGATATAGCCTTCCTTCCTTCTTGCAAAAGACCTATAGAAAGGGCTGAATTAATGGAAAACTCTTTTCTCAGAAACTGGAAGAACTGTGCTGCAGTTTGGAACTGGGTCTTCCAAGCCCAGCTCCAGAGTTCTCTCTGCTGTAGAGTGCAGTTGCCTCCTGGGTCTGCTGGACTTCTTAAATACTTTAGGGAGTCCTCCCTTACCTTCAGATGAGTCCCCAACTTCCAGAGACCTGGAAGTGTGCAAGACTTAGCACAGGTGGGCACTGGCCTACCTTTCCAGCTTTGTGGTCACATTCTCTGCTTTCCTGCTGCTTCTAGACTTTTTCCAAGATAGCTAAAGGGAAGAGCCAAGGTAGGGAGGGATAGAAGTGACAGCTGCCTCACTGACCTGCCCCAGTGGTACTGCTTGACTTATCAGCTTGTATATGGTATTACACTAAAATGTGTGCTAGTGATCACTGGAATTAAGCATCCGTCTCCCAGCTTCCCCACACACTTAACAGGGAAGCAGTCATCAGTCCTCTCAGAGCGCTGGCTCCCCCCACCCTGCTGGTCCTCATACCTTTGGAAAAGGTGTTCAAGTGCAAGATCCTTCCCTCTCAGATGGCCAAGGTGAAACAATTTGCCCCTTGGCCCTCTTCCCTGCCCATGACTGTAGTGTGTGTGGTGACAGTCCTGTGATGTGTCGGACTCTGTCCCTCAGGTCAGGCTGGGAAGCTGATGTACGTGATGCACAACTCTGAGTACCCACTGAGCTGCTTCGCCCTCTTTGAGAACGGCCCCTGCCTCACTGCTGATACCAACTTTGATGTGCTCATGGTAAAGCTCAAGGGCTTCTTCCAGAGTGCCAAGGCCAGCAAGATTGAGACCCGGGGCACCCGCTACCAGTACTGTGACTTCCTGGTGAAGGTGGGCACAGTCACAATGGGTCCCAGTGCGCGTGGCATCTCCGTAGAGGTAAGACTTTGGGGAGCCAGGGCAGGGTGCACAGGGGGCGGGTCTGCAAAGGGCTCTGAAGATCTGGTCCTAGCCAGGGGTTGTGGTGGCTCCAGCCTATAATTCCTGCACTAAGAGAGGCTAAGGCAGGAAGTGCCAAAGTTTGAATCTCATCTCGGCCATTTAGTGAGATCCTGACTCAAAAGAAAGGTGAAAGCTAAAGATACCACCCAGTGGTAGAGCATCCCTGGTTCATTTCCCAGTACCACAGCAAGGTTCCCCACTCCTGCTCAGTTCAGATTGGCCTGGATGGATGCCTGCCTGGTCCTTGGCTCCTGAGCACCTGGGCCTCCTTTTCAGGATACTTGTCCTTTCTTTAATCATTCTTTTCATCCCTAGCCCAGGACGGGAAGGGAAAGTGGCTCACACCAAGTAGACCATGAAGGAAGCATGGATTGCTGGAGAGGGATGGGTAGTCCCAGAGGGAAGAGAGTTCAGAGTGGAAGACTGGCCAGCCCTTCCAAGGAGGACTCAAGGCGCGCTTTTGCCTCATTCACTCACATACCTGTGTTGCTTGTGCAGGATGTGAGGCAGAAATGTGTCTTACCTCTTGGTGTACTGTTGGCTTTCTCTCATATGAGAGGCAAAGAGGGAGAGTGGCAGTGCTAATTTTGAGGTCAGTGAAAGTCCACACCATGCCACCTTCCCCAGCACTGTATGAACTTTGTAATCATACAAGGCCTGTCTTAAAAAATCATTTATCATATGAGCAAGGCTGAAACACAAGAGTGATTTCTTTTTCTAGTACTGGGGATTGAACCTAGGGCCTTCACCCTGTGCTACTCCCCAGCCCTTCTAATTTTTTAGTTTGAGATAGAGTCTCATTAATTCACTAAATTGCCCGAGCGAGGCTCGAGCTTGCGATCCTCCTGCTTCTGCTTCCCTGTGTGCTGGGGTGACAGGTGTGTACCACCACACCTAGTGCCACACAATTTTTGAAATTTGTCTAAGAAGCACCATAAAAGAGGCAAGAGGCACAGTGGCTTTAGGAATTCAGGTGGTGAGAGCCCTCCTGACTGTGATTAGAGGCTTCAGTGTTAGGGGTTAAAGCAGAAGACACCTAGGGATGGTGAGTGGAAAGAGCCAGAGGACCTGGGGGAAGTTTCTGCTCAGGAATTTTCGGACTGAGGTATCCTAAGCCACGTCAGTTATGGTGTGCCTGGACTTGCTGAGCCCTGGAATTCCCCATCATGCTCCACGGTTTCAGCAGGTAAATAATACATACGCCACAGTTTCTCTGCTACATTTCCTTGTGGCTGCCCTTCTGTGAAAAATGAGGAGAAAGCATGAGGAAACCTGTGTGTGTGTGTCCTTGGACCTCTGTCCAGTCTTAATCCCCATCTTAGTGTGCCCTGAGACCAGGCCGGGGGCACAAGGGGGCTTGAACCCCGGTCCCTGCGCCTGCCTAAGCAGGTGCTTTAGTCTGCTGAGCTATCTGGCAGGCCCTTTGTTTTTATGTATTTGGCACAGGGTCTCACTATACACTCACAGTGATCCTCCTGTTTTGGGCCTCCCCATGGCTGGGATTACAGGCATGTGTCACCACACTTGTCCTTGGTGGCTAGCTCAATGTGCCCAGGAGTAGGGCCAGCGTGGCATGTGTTGCTAGGGATCGAACCAAGGACCCTGTGCTTACCTAACCAGGCGCTTGTCTGCTGAGCTATCTCGCCAGCCCCCCACTTTTAATTTACTTTGTTTCTTCTTTTATCCTTCCTTTTCTCCCTTCTTCCTTCCCTCCCCCTGCCCCTTCTCTTTTCCGACCTTTTCTTTTCTCTCAGAATTTCCCTGAGCTTTCTTCAAATGTCATTCAGGATGGCTCAGTCCTGGGATCTGCTTCTGGGGCTGTGGGCAAGCCCAGTGTCAGGAGGAGAACGTTAGAGATGCCAGTGGGAAAGCTGCGGGCTATGTCAGTTGAGTCTTTCCTCTAGAGCAACACTGTGCAAGAAGGGATGTCTTTTTTTAAAAAAATGTATTTAGTACATAGTCTACAGGATCTCACTACACAGATCAGACTCATAGTGATCCTCCTGTTTTTAGCCACCCAAGTGCTGGGATTACAGGTGCATGCTGCCACACCCAGTCTCAATCACTGTCTCAGCACACTCTGGGGCCGGCACAACACTTGCCTGGTGGGGTGGGGGTGGGAATCAAGCCCTGGTTCCTGCATCTGCCTAAGCAGGTGCTTTAATCCACTGAGCTATCTAGCCAGCCCTTGTCTTTTTTAATTTTGGTGGGGTTTTTTTTTCCCCCCCTTCGGGCCTCCTACTTGCTAGGTAGGCACTGTGCTACTGAGTTACATCCTCAGGCAGGGTTTCATTGTATAGTTCAGCCTGGCCTTGAACTTGTTTATGTAGCCTAAGCTGTCCCTGAGCTCTCAGGGATCTTCCTGCCTCAGTCTCCCAAGTGCAGGGATTGTAGGCTCCACTACAATCTTTTGGCTGAGGCCTGAAGAAGGTGGCACAAGCAGCCCTTGTCCTTGCCTTGCTCACCTTCCTCTCTGTCCCCTTGGTCCCAGGTGGAGTATGGCCCCTGTGTGGTGGCTAGTGACTGCTGGAGCCTGCTGCTCGAGTTCCTGCAGAGCTTTCTAGGCAGCCACACGCCGGGGGCTCCTGCAGTGTTTGGGAACAGACATGACACCGTCTATGGCCCAGCAGACACCATGGTCCAATACATGGAACTCTTCAACAAGATCCGCAAGCAGCCTCAGGTGCCAGTGGCTGGGATTCGGTAGCAACTGGCAGGTGCCAGCTGAGCCACACCAGGGCCCTGGATGCCAGGACCAGAGAGACGTGGCAGCTCCTCTCCCTCTGCGTCTCAGCTGTGCCTGCGTTCTGAGCTCTGCACTCCCTCCCTTCCCCACTTCCGCCCAAGCCTGCAGTAGGAGCCTCCAGCAGCTGCTCTACCAGATTTGGCCTGTCCTTAAGAGCAGTAATTAGGAAGCATGGAGATACTTGGACCTCTGCTGCTGTAGGGCAAAGGTAGGACAGAGTGTCCCTGCCCCAACTTTCAGGGTTTGGCCTGGGCCTAAGGGCCATGCTGTGCTCCACTGCATGTGTGGCTCTGGTTTTGTGACCTATAGGCTGTAGTGATCCTGGGAGAACTGACTTTCCAGGGGTGTGGCCTGAGTCCTTTGAGCTCTCCTGACATCTTTCCCTTTGGTTGTGAATTATATGACCCACAGGTCAAATTATTTTAACAGAATGAAAAGGACTTGGCTTCTCACTAGACAGAAGTTGCACTTCTCTTGTTGATAGTTCAGAGGTCATCATGAGGCCAAGGCAGATTTAGTTACGCAGGGTCCTCAGGTACTCTTTTTTTCTTATTCCCCCACGCCTAGGATGTTGTCCTCACCCACAAGGTCAGTATAGACATATAAGCTCCGTGTCTGCATTCCACTGTGGAAACAAAAGCTTGCTTCCTCTCCCCTCTTCTCCTTTCCCCTCCCCTCCTTGCTCCTCCCTTCTTTCTTTTTTTTTTCTCTAGTGCTAGAGATTGAAGCCATAGCTTTCCAACTGAGCTACATCCCCAGGCCTTTTAAAATACTTTATTTTGAGACAGGGTCTTGCTAAACTGTTAAGTTGCCAAGGCTGGGCTTGAGGTTATGGTCCTCCTTCCTCAGCCTCCCAGAGTCCTGAGACTTCATGTGTGCCCGGCTAGCATTACTTTTTTTAAAGGCTATATGACCTGCAGTGCTTAAATTCTTGTGGCCACGCTGGGGTGAAAGGTATACCCTGGTCTGGGTAGCCATGTGCCCGGTTATACTTGAGGGGTGTTGAGGCTAAGTGGCGAGGGACAAGCAGGGTGTGGTGGTGCTCACCTGTAATTCCAGCACCGGGCCTAAGGTAGGAAGATGGCTATAAGTTCGAGACCGGCTTGAAATACATAGTGAGACCTTGTCTCAACAACAAGAAAAATGACGGAGACCCTGGGAGCTGTGGCCCAGAGAGTGACCTCTGCTCCGTGGAACTCAGCAACACATCCAGGAATGCACTGGCAGCAATTTTGCAGTTTTGTTTATTAGCTAGGCTGGGATAAGGATTGAGTTCAGAGCCACTGGGAGCTTAGCATGATTAGTCACAGTGGGGAGTCAGTTCTGTACCCCATGCCTAAGCTTTCTGCAGCCCTCACAGCTCGGGAGAGTGGCTGAGCTTGAGCTTGAAACTGCACCAGGATTTGTGGTGGTTTTTTTTTTTAATGTATTTTTAGTACAGGGTCTCACTATACAGATCAGAATTGTAGTGATCCTCCTGTTTTCAGCCTCCCAAGTGCTGGGATTATAGGCTCACGCCACCACACCCAATCTTGGTCACTAGGCCAGCATGGCATGGCATGCCATGGCCGGGATTGAACACTGGTCCTTGTCTGCCTAAGCAGGTGTTTTAGTCCCTGAGCTATCTGGCTGGCCCTGTGGTGAGTTCTTTATCCTGGTGACATCTGAGCCTCCAAGTGGTTCCTTGGCTTCTGATGTTCACCTCCCTTTCTCCTGCTACAGGAACGTTCAGCCAGGCTGACATTTGGGATGTACAGAAATGGTCTTGGTGAAGCTTTTTTGTGGGCAGGGGATTTGTTTATTGTCTTAAATGGTACCGTGGATTGAGCCCCAGCCCTTCTGTATTTTTAAACAAAAGCTTACTAAGTTGCTAAGTTGTGCAGGCTGGGCTCAAACTTTGCCATCCTTCTGCTTCAGCCTCCCAGGTGGCTGGAATTACAATCACGCACTACCACACCCACAGGAAAATTATTACTGTACATAGTGTAGTCATTACCAAGGACACAATCTCCTTGAAGGCATCTAAAGAGAAATTGTTTTTAGGGCACATACCTGCAGCAAGAGTCAGCTACTGTCACTGGCAGGAATCTTAGCATCTGCTGTCTGTATTTTTTTTTTAACCTTACTTCCCTGTTTTTGTTATTTATTTTGTCTTTGCTCTTTAAGTCTTGAGGTATGTTTTAAGTATCACTTGTATACAACATAATGTACCAATTTAAGTTTTTGATCTTCTGACTTATATTTGCTCTTGCCCAGGTCTGTTTGTTCTTTACTGTAGGCAGCCT